CACATTTTATTTCTGAATGTTAGTTTTAGCAAATTCTGAAATAATAAATGTAATTTGCATTGTCAGTATAATAAGCAGATAGCCTAATTTTAACCTACAACTGCATTTTTACAAATTGACATCGGGAGGGGGAGGGGGGGGGGACTTCGCGGATTAAACAGTTCGGTCCTTGTCCAGCAAGCTGTGACTTTCGCTCACAATTTGACCTGTAAACAATTTTTTTGCTGTTTTTCTCGTTTATACTCTTTGTAGGCAGATGCGCTTTAAATGAAAAAAATAAAGCTTAAATATTGTTGAAACACAAACCAAAAGCGATGAAATTCAAATTGAAGAAATAATAATGCATTAATCTGAAATTTCTGATTCTGAATTATAATTAGAATTCATTTTGTTGACAGCGCTGTAGTACAAAACAGATTTAGTAAAATAGTAAAATCGTTTTTTTAAACCAAATTTTTTATTTTCTTTGAAACCAAATTTATACAAAAATGTAAATTTTTTGATAAAAAACGAAGACACAAAGCTATTGTAGAGAGGCAAAAGAATTCATACGGAAGCAATTAATATAATAGAGAAAAAGGTATAGTAAGAAAAAATAGTAATGTTTTTTTTAAGAAAAAATATTGTGAAAAAGATATTTTCCCAAATCATTGTTGGGCATAATTCTCAGAACTAATCTTATGTAGGACAAAAAAATAGTAGGACACATGTAAATAAGACAGCTTATGTAGGAAAAATCATTTGAAGGAAAAATAATACGCATGACAAATCATAGAGAGGACCAATCATATCAGAACAAATCTTATGTAGGACAAATCATATGGAGGACAAATCATATGTAGACAAACCATATACAGGGCAAATGATATACAGGACAAATCATATGTAGACAAACCATATAGAGGGCAAATGATATACAGGACAAATCATATGTAGACAAACCATATAGAGGGCAAATGATATACAGGACAAATCATATGCAGGACAAATTATATGCAGGACAAACCATATGCAGAACAAATTATAAGCAAGACAAATCATATGCAGGACAAATTATATGCAGGATAAATCATATACAGGACAAATTATATGCAGGAAAAATCATATGCAGGACAAATTATATGCAGGAAAAATCATATGCAGAACAAATTAAATTATAAGCAAGACAAAACATATGCAGGACAAATTATATGCAGGACAAATTATATGCAGGATAAATCATATACAGGACAAATTATATGCAGGAAAAATCATATGCAGAACAAATTATAAGCAGGACAAATCATATGCAGGACAAATCATATGCAGGACAAATCATATGCAGGACAAATCATGTGGAGGACAAATCATAGTAAGGACAAATCATATGGCGGACAAATCATATGGAGGACAAATCCTATGGAGGACAAATCATATGCAGGACAAATCATTTGCAGGACAAATCATATGCAGGACAAATCATATGCGGACAAATCATGTGGAGGACAAATCATATAAAGGACAAATCATTTGCAGGACAAATCATATGCAGGACAAATCATATGCAGGACAAATCATATGGAGGACATATCATATGGAGGACAAATCATATGGAGGACAAATCATATGGAGGACAAATCCTATGGAGGTCAAATCCTATGAATATAGTTGGTATATATAGCTTATCAAGAATTAGAAACTTATAAAACACAACTTATTTTCAGATTGTTTTCTCTCTAAAAGTTCTAATGGAAAACTGTAATAATGTCATAGGAGAATAATGCAAGAGATTTTCTTTTTCACAATATTATTAAGTGTCACAGGTATATTCTTAATTAAACTTCTAGGGTGCTTCGCGCCCATCTTCAATTTTAACTTGTTATTGTTGCATCTGCGGCATTTTCTCTTCTAAAATATCAAACAAAAACAAAAAATTCGCGGATTAAACAATTTATTTTCTTGAATTTTAGGAATTCGAATTTTTTAAGCAATTTTTTCAAATTTTGACCTTCAATAAACCTTATCTATGGTAATGTGAGGTCCCACACAAAATTTGGACCCGATCGGTTTAGCCGTTTTTACGTTTATTGGTTTCAAACAGACAAGCAGAGTATTTATTTTTAGACACCAGTTTTAATAAAACAATATTTGAAAAAAGGCCTAATATCAACAAAAAGTACTGAGGTAAAAATTAAAGAACTGTGTACTGCAAATATTAAAGAAAATCGAGAACTCTAAACTTGTTTTTTAAAGTTTTATATTTCTTGTCACGGCATGATTCATAACTTAAAGTCACAACATGAACTCATAAATATTTGCACTTCAATTTATTCTACAATACTCTATGGGTTGATAATTCCAACATATTTTCATTAATTAGACATTTTTTGGGTTTCCTGGGAAAAAAATAAGCTTTGAAGATTACCCGTGTTAGAGTATGTTTTTGCAGTATACTACTGTAATAATAGGCAGGCGTCGGGGAGGGGNACACCTTTAAGTATATTTTCATGACTTTTTCCTTTTCAAATATGTTTTTCTTATGATTATTTTCCTGTGACTTTAATAGAAGTTTAAAAACTTGATTATTTTCAAGAATTGATTATCTGCTAAAGTGATTTTCTGATTTATATCAGCTGCAAGGTGATGCAAGTGGCAAAAAATCATGTGTCTCTTAACTCTTTTCTTTTAGGATTTTCCCGTTTTGAATGCCACGTTTTAAGAAGTGGGGAGCAGGTGGGACAGCTGGTGCAACAACAGGATATAGTTCAACTACAGCAGGAAACGTCTCAACTACAGCATGACCCAGTTCAACTACTCCAGGACACTTCTCAACTACAGCTGTTAGAAAAACTAGATTTCAAGAATTGTCTGGAACAACACCAGTTTGATTTACAACAATTTATTGCCGAATCCAAACAATTAACAGAAAAGCATCAGCCTCGGCGTAAATATGACGCCGACCGTGCCCGCCGAACCGCCGGATCCTGTGGAACCTTCGCCCTTTTCCCGTTCCTGGCATTCCTCTATGCGGCCTCAACATTGTCAACAAACGTAATTAATACAGTCAACAACAGCAATGAAAACAGACGGCGGCGTGATGCAAATGCATCAATGTTTGATGGTTCTATTTTTAGATCACTGGAAACCCTTCCAAGCATAACAGGCAAGTAAAAATAAACGAAATATTATAAAAAGATTTCTCTGAAAAATTGCACTTTTAGGAATATTTCAGCGAGGAGAAAATTTGTCAGCAGGTTTTCGAAGAATTCAGAAGAGTTTGGATACTTTTCAAATTCCAGGTCCAGTATTTTTTACCAAATTCATGATTTAACATATTTTTTCTTTTTCAAATTTCAAATTTAATGTTTTTTTTCTGTTTCAGATGGTGTATTTTCAATTTTTTTCTTATTCTTTGAATAGATTATGAAATAGATATTCCGAACAATATTTTTATAAAATGTGGATCCAGAAATCTCTAGGATATATTTATGCCTGGATTGGAGAACTTAGTTCTTGAAAGAGTCAAGATAAACTAACATGACGTGATTAGAAGAATTACTTTAATATAATATATTTATAAAAGAAGATAAACCATCACTAACTGAGACAATATGCAATTCTGAATGAAGTTTCTCTTTACAAGATAAAATTCATGAATGTCGCAAACATGAAAATACCTAAAAAGACGATATAAAAAACCATTTCTAAATGCACTGAGTCCCACTGTATCAAAAAAAAGTAGGATGTCAGATTTACAACGGTTTTCTTCCTTTGTCTGATGATCACGAAGAAATGAACTATCCATAAAAAAATTGGCCATTTTCAACTGTTGTTTCCTTAACCCTATCTCTGCTGGGGTACTTGAAAACCAGGATATGCTGGGGGGGTCAATTTGCCCCCCCCCCCCTCTAAATCCCATGTTTGATGTCCAAATATGACAAATGATATACATCACTGGAAAGCTCTTGTGCTCTACTTTTAGAATCTGCAAAAAAATTTGCAAATTTGCAAAAATTGAGTTTTTATCGCAAAATCCAGTTATATAGTAAAAATGTTTGCAAAAAAATATGCAAAAAAATTTGCAAAATTTTAAATAACCTGATTTTTAATCAAGAAAAACTAAAAATGTGCAAATTTCCTTTGACAGGTTGTTTGCAAACAATTTGCAATTTTTTTCGCAAAACTTGTGCAATTCGTTTCCTTATGTCAAAGGCTTTCCAAAAGCTAAATTTTATCAAAATCTGACAAGTGGAAGTGGGTCAAAACAGAGATTTAGTTTGTTACAGGAAAAAGCAGTCATTAAGGCAGTGTGCCTGAGGACTCAGGCAGTTAGTATTAAAGCCCGGTTTTAGGCCTAAAGGGAGGGCTTTGAGTATGTAGGAAAAGTCAGAAAATTTCAACAGCCTCAGACCAATACTTTTTGAGTTGTGTAAAAAAAAAAATACAGGGGGGGTCAAATTGACCCCCCCCCCCAGCAGGAATAGGGTTAACGAGGGACTTATACGGATTCGTGCAATGGGGAAAATTGTTAGAATTAAACACTTGCTATAAAAATGACGATATATTCGACAAATTAGATAAAAATACTAAGGGTACTTTTTTGAATTAGAAATTGCTCGCTTTTAATGGAGGGTTACAACAATCCAATCCTATTCATGCGCCAGTTTGAGATTTTAAGATACAAAATTATTTACAGGGCTGCCCAGCGTTGGTGAGCTGAGAGAGAAAATTGGAATGGAAAGTACAGAAACCCTGTTTGGTGATAAAAACTCGGAAACCCTGCCAGCTGAAGAAAAGGCGGAAACCCTGTCTGGTCCGGCATTTGCAAACCTTCTCTCACTTCAGGGTAACCCTTAACTTTTAATCAGAAACTATTGATTTTTCTTTTCTTTCTTTTCTTATCATTGGAGAACTTGAAACAGTGAGTCTAACAAATCATTAAGATCGTTCTTTTTAATCTATACCATTCTTCTATGCGTATACTTTGCTTGTTTATCTGTCTGTCCGTTTTTGTCCAATAAACGTCAACACGGCTGAACCGATCGGGACCAATTTGTGGGACCTCAGTCTCATATGACCCCAGGAAAGATTTATGGATGGTAAAAATATTGGGTACAAATTTTAAGCGGTTATACATCTTTTTTACATCTAATCTTTTTTTATACGTATTATCACATTACAATTTACTTGTTATAATCTATCTTTAAAATTATCAAAATTTTATTATAAAAATTGATTCAGAATAAGTTAACCTTTGTCAGACCTTTTTACGCAGTGTAAATTAGATAAGTTTTTTTTTGGTAAGAAGACACTTAAAAAAATGCTTCAACTCAGATTTTTTTCTGGAAATTTCGGCAGCTTGAGTCTTCCTCCGCCTCTACATCCTTGAAATCATCGACATTGTTCGGCAGACTGACCCATCCTACATCGACATTGTTCGGCAGATTGACCCATCCTACATCGACATTGTTCGGCAGACTGACCCATCCTACATCGACATTGTTCGGCAGACTGACCCATCCTACATCGACATTGTTCGGCAGATTGACCCATCCTACATCGACATTGTTCGGCAGACTGACCCATCCTACATCACCAAATAAACATCGTTATAGTTTACAGTTTTAATTGTTTTGTTTTTTGACTTCGGGCCTTTTCATTTTTTTATTAAAATTTTTATTTTTATGAAAAGGTAAATTTTTCTAACAGAAAAAACTTTGTATGTGCCTAAAGCTTTTTACTCATTGTAATACCTCACCAAAAAACTATATTTATTTCACCACTGGCTAATCTTCAAAACAAAAAATAATATTTTAGCTTGAAGAGCAGAAACTAATTTAATATTTGTGTTTTATTAATATTTGATCTTAAATCTTGAAATTTTATTCAGGTCTTCTCCCGTCCAGCTTCCAGCTGACACAGAATCCTTTCCCAACTCTAGCAGCAATATTCACTTACAATACAAAGGGTATACAAATATAATTATCAACATTGTTATCACCCCCCCCCCCCCCNTCCTTGTTGCTGTTTAGACAATTTTTCATTAAAAAGCGCAAATGTATTCTAACGAACTGATAACTTAAGATAATACAAGATTGACCTTGTTTGATCCATATTTTGTATTCTCTCAGTATTTGATGCTGAACCAGGAGCTGAAATAGAAGCTGGACCCGGAGCTGAGTTAGAAGCCGGACCCGGAGGTCAACCAGGAGCTGAACCCGCAGCTGAACCAGGATCTGAACTAGAAGAATCATCCGTTACTTCAACCGAGCCTCCACCTCAGAAAAACCAATCCGATCCATCACAACTGGAAGAGTTTTTAAACGCTTCCTTTGATGATATGGAAGAGTTTGAAACCTCTCTCAAGGATTTGATTGAAAACTCTCCAGAGAAGGAAAAACTATTAAAATCCTTGAAACGAGAAATTGAAAAGCGAGTACAGGTGATAATATATTTTTGATACAGTTTACCCCAGAGATTTTGAGGTATCGAAAGAATTTATGAAATGTCGTCTATAAATATATAAATATATAGATATTAATGTTAATTCTTTGAATATGATGAAGGATATCCTTGATAAAACTGAGTTGAACTCTGTAAGTGTTGATGATGTACCTGGAGAATACTGGTTCGAGGATAGATCTGGAGAACCTGTTGAAACCAGCCCAACTCCAGGTACACACCAGAGCTTAAAACTTTTGTTTAAAGGGAGTGTCGGGCTAGACATGGTAATTGAGCTGAGAATGCAGTTTAGTAGAGATAAAATTTGCGCTCTTTCTAAACAAATATGCACCGTAAAAACGTCTGATAGGTTTAAAATGAATCTTTTAAAAAATTCTCTACAATACTGCATTCTCAGCATTCTTATGCAGTTGACATATAATTTGTATAATTGTAATTAAAAATGCCTAATTCACAGCAGCACCTTTTAAAGCCTTGTCTAATCAAGCATTAGTTATTTATCAACGTTTATAATTTTGAAAATTGTTAATTTTCAAAAGTAGTTTTCCTACAAAAGTGACTTCCGCATTTTTAAGACAGAAAAACATAAAAGAATGATCCAGAAAGAAACACTTTTAAACCTGGAACAACTACAAAGCTTTTAATGTTTTCCATAGTGATTCGGGCATTATCATCTTTGCATGGAGGATCACTTGAAATTACTCTTGCAGTCCCTTTAAATCTAAAGTATGTATTTACAAGGAATCCTGTACACATCGCTAAACCTGAACCTAACTCCTAAAAACAAGAAGGATAAAGAAGAAACCAAGGTCCCGAGGGAAAGAACTGGAAAAATACAAGGAACGGGAGATATTCTATCGGAATTAGAAATGAACGCGGCAAAGGAAATTGAGGAAAATAACTCGACACCGGTTCCGGTTCCTGTTCCGGTTCCGGTACCTTCAGAAGAGGATAAAGAGGAGGAAAAGAAGAAAGAAGAGAGTGAAGAAGAAAATGAAGATTATGACGACAATGACCCCAATGAAACTGATCAAGATGAAAATAGAAGAAAAGATAAGAAGATAAGAGGACAAGGGTTTAAAGAGGATTTAAAGCTTAAAGACAACGGGAAGGAAAACGAGAATAAGGTAAAAAGAAAAGAATAAGTAAATTTAACACATATAAAGGAATTGACTCTTTGCAACAAACTCTGATTTTCTAATCCTTATATCTTTGGATTCCAATGTAGTAAACCTTTGAAATTTCAAACTATGACTTTTGTTAGATCAAAAAATTTTAAGTTTGAAATATCAAAGGTTTACAACATTGGGTTCCAAAAATATTGTGATTAGAAAATCAGAGTTTGTGGCAAAGAGTCAATTCCTTTAAAACTAATTCATTTTATTCTCAACAGTTTGATCAGATTCAGATTCAGAACCGTTGAAAATAAAGTGAAATCCGTAAAACTCTTGACAAGGAAGATGACTTTTAGACTTAAAGGGAGTGTTCGGGAAAAATGAAAAGGGGTATAGCCTTACATCGAAAAATATTCGATGGTAATGAAATATCAACTATATGTACAAATGCGTCGAAAAAAAATCGAGGATTATAGGTTGGAGTATCTGAATGATTTGCGTGAGATCGTTTTTTTTTATTTACGATCCGAGTTGAATATTGCAACTTTGTGAATTTGTATGAGTAGTTTTTAACAATTTTCTATTATAGACTCAACAGATAGAAGTAAGATTAGTAGCAGTCACCATCGAATATTTTTCGACGTAAGCCTATACCCCATTTCATTTTTTGCGAACAATCCCTTTAAGTTATTACTTTAAAATTTAAATTGTCCAATGAACATGAGATACAACAATTGTGCAGTGTGAAGAGAACCATTTCACTTAATACATGATTTGACAGTTACTTACAGTAAAACTATTTCAAGTTTGAATCCATTTTTCCAAGTTTTGAATCTTTCCTCCCAAGTACAAACCTTCACTAAAAGTGTAAAAGGACATAAAATGCGTTTAATTATTTATTTAAATCGTTTTACTATTCTACAGTTTTCTGGCTATCACTGAATAATTGTTCTAACAATTACAAACTTCTTTTTTTTAGATTTTTTTTGTTTCACGGTAAAAATTTGTTTCAAACAATATTTGTTTGCAAAACTTCACTATTTTGCGCAAATTATATTTTATCTATGAAACTTGGTTTTTTAGTATGCGTGGAAAAACAAAAAACGAAACACTCGTTTTTGAAACAATCGTTTTAAAAAGAATAAATTTTTAACTCAAAAACGAAAAAGAAATTTTCATTTTTTTATTTTTCGTTTCGTAAACTAGATTAACAACATACTTTTAAAATATTTTTTTTTATAAGAAGTATTTAGTTAAAGAGCTTTGTCATAAAATATTTAATCTAATATTTAGGTTGTAAAAACATTTTCCCTTCAGCACCTTATGAAGACAAAATTCAAGGTAAGAATAAGAATTTAATTTAATTTTAATGTTTTTAACTTTAAAAATGGATTTTTTTCTTGGGGGTTTTCTGTAAAAGTTACTTGCGTAATTGTGCTACAGAAAAAAGTGTTGAGTATTTGGTCAGAATTCAACACATTGATCAAACAAATATATGTAAACTGGTACCGATGTAAATCTGGCACGACCAACTGTTTTTTTAAATGGTAAGCCACTAAATCTTAACATTTTGAGCTAAATATATATAAAATATGTAATTTTTTTTTAAGTCGTAGTGAAAAAAACATTAAAAGCAACAATATTGCCAGGAATTTAGATTAAAAATACGAGGGTTTTCCATTGAAAATCCCTCTCATACAAAATATGAATTTTAAAACTAATATATTAGGTTTTTAGGGAAATCGCTAAGTAGCGAAACACACTGAATAATTGTTTTAACAATTATTCTTTTCTTTTTTTAGATGTTTTTGTTTCACGGTAAAACTTTGTTTCTAACGATATTTGTGTGCAAAACTTCACAATTTTGCTCAAATTATATTTTATCTATGAAACTTGGTTTTTTGGTATGCGTGGAAAAACAAAAAACGAAACACTCGTTCTTAAAACAATTGTTTTAAAAAGAATAAATTTTTAACTTAAAAACGAAAAAGAAATTTTCATTTTTTTATTTTTCGTTTCGTAAACTAGCATTAGCAACATACTTTTAAAATATATATTTTTTTTTATAGAAAAATATTTAGTTAAAGAGCTTTGTCATAAAATATTTAATCTAATATTTAGGTTGTAAAAACATTTTCCCTTCACCACCTTATGAAGACAAAATTCAAGGTAAGAATAAGAATTAATATCAAATTCAAGGAAAGAATAGGAATTAATATCAAATTCAACGTAAGAATAAGAATTAATATCAAATTCAAGGAAAGAATAGGAATTAATATCAAACTCAACGTAAGAATAAGAAATAATATCAAATTAACTATCACGCGCACTCATGACCCTTGAGTAAAAGTAAATTCAACCTAAAGTCTGACTGCGTCAATCTTGTTGCACCGGCTAATCCTATTAAGTGTCTGCTTTATTTATCCAATGTCCGGGCGATACAGTATAAACTAGGACCGGAAAGGTTGACCCGGCTCGGAAATTCAAATGTACTACGGCTGCCCGTGCTATAGACTTAATTTCAGTTAACCCCATTCTTAGAGCGGATTGTCCGACTCGCAACGATACCCTTAAACATTTTTCATGATGAACAACGAATGAGATATCCATGTTTTTAAATTAAAAAACGGATTTTTAATCAGGGGTTTTCTGTAAAAGTTACTTGCGTAATTATGCTACAGAAAAAAGTGTTGAGTATTCGGTCAGAATTCAACACATACAGGCTAAAAAACGACGATAGCCCAGGGAATAGGAATAAAGAGAAAGGAAATGGCGCTGGTCTGGCATGAGAAAGCCAGTCGCCCTGCTTTGCAGACCAGTACGGTAAACTTACGCACACTATTTTGGTACAGACACACAACATGACTACAGTCAAGGAAATTTTAGAACAATGTTGTCAATTATAATTAAACTTGAATAACGAGTAGTTTATTGTAAACTTTAATCAAATTATATTCTTTGCATGAAAATTTGGCTTTATAGTGTTGACTTAAATATGTAAATAATATATTACATGCATATTAAACTTATTTTTAAGCAAACAATTAACAATAAACAAATATACTCTCCTAGACTGTACAAATACCGAGATTCTTACGTACTGTATAAACCTACAGTACACACCTTTGGTGTACTTACACACACTCTTTTGGTACAGACACACCCCATGACGTTTCCGCCCCCTGCGATAGCCTTACACACATTGAATCAAACAAATCTATGTAAACTGGTACCGATGTAAATCGGGCATGACCAATTGTTTTTTTTTAAATGGTGAGTCATCTTAACATTTTGAGCTTAATATGTATAAAATATGTATTTTTTTTTTTTAAGTCGTAATGAAAAATACATTAAATGCAACAATATTGCCAGGAATTTAGATTAAAAATACGAGAGTTTTCCATTGAAAATCCCTCTCATACAAATATAGTTTTATAAATATATATATATATGAGCGAAGAGCTTTATTTCATAAATTACTCTCGGGCGTACACTTTCTTGTTTTCAGGCACATATACCTTGTTTCTTTATATTTTGCAAAAAAATTTAGTCTTTGCCATAAACTTACATTTAGTTTCTCTATATATTTGCAACATGATGATGAAAACTTAGATTATTTGATCGAACTAAATTCATAGATTGAAATACGACATTGGGCTGCAAAGATATTGGAGTTAGAAAATCTGAACTTAATTTCTTTTGTTTACTTAAAGGACCTGTACGCTGATATGTGGAACAGATCTCAGAGTATCCCTTTAATTAAGGAAATTACAGAAGACTTCAGGGACTGGAATTTAGTCGCTTTTGTCATATTTATTCTTTTCTAATTGTCTGATAATAATCAACCCTTTTAAAAACCTATTCCTGAGCGCAGGGGACACAAGGGCGTGTATTAAAAAAAAGATGCTCACGCGTCGCGCATAAATAGAGAATTAATGTTCTAATTACTCCTCTCAGACTTGAGCTATAAACTAGCGTGTTGCATTTATAAATGTATATGCCTAGGGTTATTAAAAAGTATCATTGTAAGTTTGTGAGGTAAAACCAAGGGCTATGGCGTTGCGAGTTGCGATCCTTTAAATTTGAGGCTGTTTAAAAATTTGCTGACAAACTTTCAGCGTTGTCCAGATTTCTAACATGTGTGTATATTGGTATAACTAAAAGATTAAATCCTTTGATTCAGTTCATACCCAAAACCTGGCTTTAAATATAACTTTTGAGACCTGTACTTTTACAGTTTCTTTCTTTAGTGTATTTATTCTTATTTTTTCGCTACTTTATTTTCTATGAACATTTTACAGAAAATTTGTTCTGCTTAAAATTTTTTTTTTCTACTTCTTTGATTTACTTTTTATCAATTATTGTATCTAAAATTAATCTGTTTTAACATAAAACATCACACTCAGCTTGCCGTAAACAATGAAAGAGCGAAAAAAAAGAATGTCCCTATTGAAGATAGATAGATAAAGTTTAGTACTACAATACACGTATTGGTGTATACAGAAAGAGTTTACAATTACAAATTGATAATTTTTTTTAACAGTGCAAGCAATTAGGTGAAAAAAAGCTTTTGGCTGTTTTGATTATTTTTTCAAACTATTTTCAATTATGATAACAAAATATTTCAATTAATTAGATTTGAGGATAACTATTAGAGATCAGAATTGTTAAGAATTGTAAAAATATATTGACTAAATTTGATGTACAGTAAAGTGACCGAGATAATAAAGAATAGTACAATTAGTTCTACTCAGCTTAACCACAAGAACTTAGATGACAGGATTAGGTGAGAACACAGATTCTTATCATCATTTTTTTATAAAACATTTACAAATCAGAAAAGTCTTTTTTGCAAATATGCTGATTATGCTTGACTTAAATTCAGTTTTTTAATTCCTATATCTTTGCAACTTAATAATGCAAGCCTTCGAAATTTTAATTTTGACATTGATCCTTTAGAATTTACATACTTGTATTATCAAATGTTTAAAACTTCAGGTCATGCAAAGATATCAGGATCAGAAAGGTATAGCACACTCCTCTGCCGCTTTATAAATCGTATATTTGCGGTATAGTCCAAAGTATTTAATTGCATACAATAAAATGATCGCAAAATAAGCAAAGATAATAGAAGCAAAAAAAACTATAGTATAACGAGTTCTTTAAACTATTTAAATGAATTGCAGAGTCGTTGCCACAAACTCATTCCTTTTATATTTCAAATTTAGATAACTTGATCAGACAGAGTTCATTGTTATTACAATAAAATGTTTGCAAACTAAGGTTGCAAATATATTAGGATCAGAAAAGTATAGTATGCCGAATTCCTTAATTTTGCAAATTTAAATTATTTTCAGATCGGACTTTGATGGTTTTCACTTCACTCATCATGTTAAAAATGCGTCTGAAGAGATAAAGAAGTTTAAACTACCAGGTAAACTCGCAATAAAGGTTTAAACTTTTCTTTTAGCGTTTTTTAGTTGCTTGAAAATTATAAAAACTTTTTAAACTATATAAATGAAATGTTAATCGTTGTTTGCATAGAACGTTACACATCTTATTCAACTATATTATAAAATCTTAAGGGAATTGTTTATCTTTTTAAAATCTTAAATCTTATTTGAATAATTGTTTCCGCCCCGGCCCAAACCTTTTTGATCAATTTTAAAGCTGCTGAAATATTTTTGTGTGGACATCCTATAACGAGAAGTTCTTCTCTTTGTTTTTATGATGTTGCACCACATTAATGTTTTCTCCAGAAATTGGCAATTCTCTTCAATATTTTTATGATCTCATTTCAGGAGTGTATATTTTTTCGAAAAATCGTCTTTCTTCCCCCNGAATTTTTTTCCCCTAGAAGTCAGATCATTAAAAATCATTTGGTAATTGTGAAAAATATACACCCCTGTCCCATTTCTAGAAGTTTGCAACTTTACTGGAAAGAGTAAAACACATCTAGAAATAAAAACCAAGTGTTAATGCTATTTTTTGGTTGTGACAGGACTGCCATCTATCGGTGATATTCTAAACAACTCACTGAGCTACATGAATATGAGTTCTGGGCTACCTAACCTTGACACCCTGGTTTCTCAACTCTCATTCAGGTTTTAAATATACGAAATATTCTTCTCAAAAGAAAAAAAAAGTAAAATATGCACTGTATTTTAATTAGTACTTTCATAACTTTTGGTAAATGTATTTAGTTGGATCAACAATAATTATTTGATTATAAATTAAATTAAAAATTATTTAATAGTAATGGTCAGTTAATACTTTATTATTATTGATAATAATATAGTTGCAAAGGGAGAGGTATAACTGACAAAATTGAAAAAAAAAAAAAAATTTCAGATCAGCAGCTGTTCCTGAAACGGAGGAAACCAAGGCAAACGACAAAGCTGATGAAAAATCTGAAACTGAAAGGTAAAAATTAAACCTTTATCACAACATTTTTTTTAGAATGTGTAATCTGTCTATATCTTGTATATCAATAGTAGAACTAGTGCTATCTGTGTAATCTGTCTATACCTTGTATATCAATGGTAGAACTAGTGCTATCTGTGTAATCTATCTTTACCTTGTACATCGATGGTAGAACTAGTGCTCTCTGTGTAATCTATCTACATCTAGTATATTGATGGTATATCTTATAGTGCTCTCTGTGTATTATGTCTATGTGCTATCTGTGTAATCTATTTTTACCTTGTATATCGATGGTAGAACTGGTGCTCTCGGTGTAATCTGTCTAAACCTAGTAATGGTAGAACAAGTGTTATCTCTATAATCTGTCTATACCTAGTATAACGATGGTATAACTGGTGCTCTCTGCGTAATATGTCGATTACTAGTATATTGATGGTAGAACTAGTGCTATCTGTGTAATCTGTCTATACCTATTATATCGATGGTAGAACTAATGCTCTCTGTGTAATCTGTCTATACCTATTATATCAATGGTAGAACTAGTGCTCTCTGTGTAATCTGTCTATACCTAGTATATTGATGGTATATCTTATAGTGCTCTCTGTGTATTATGTCTATGCCTAGTATATTGATGGTAGAGCTAGTGCTCTCTGTGTATTATGTCTAGTACTAGTATATTGATGGTAGAGCTAGTGCTCTCTGTGTAATATGTCTATTAATAGTATATTGATGGTAGAACTAGTGCTCTCTGTGTAATATGTCTATTACTAGTATATTGATGGTAGAACTAGTGCTATCTGTGTAATCTGTCTATTCCTAGTATATTGATGGTAGAACTAGTGCTCTCTGTGTATTATGTCTATTACTAGTATATTTATGGTAGAACTAGTGCTCTCTGTGTAATCTGTCTATACCTAATATATCGATGGCAGACCTAGTGCTTTCAGTGTAATCTGACAGACCCATGAAAAATCTACCAGTTTAAAGTAAAATTAGAAATAAATTGTTCGAGAAGAAATTCTCTTTTCAGAAACTCTCTGCGTAATATGTCGATTACTAGTATATTGATGGTAGAACTAGTGCTATCTGTGTAATCTGTCTATACCTATTATATCGATGGTAGAACTAGTGCTCTCTGTGTAATCTGTCTATACCTATTATATCAATGGTAGAACTAGTGCTCTCTGTGTAATCTGTCTATACCTATTATATCGATGAAAAAACTAGTGCTCTCTGTGTAATCTGTCTATACCTATTATATCAATGGTAGAACTAGTGCTCTCTGTGTAATCTGTCTATACCTAATATATCGATGGTAGAACTAGTGCGCTCTGTGTAATCGGTCTATACCTAATATATCGATGGTAAAACTAATGCTCTCTGCTTAATCTGTCTATACCTATTATATCTATGGTAGAACTAGTGCTCTCTGTGTAAATTTGTCTATACCTAATATAAAGATGGTAGAACTAGTGCTATCTGTGTAATCTGTCTATACCTAGTATATTGATGGTAGAACTGGTGTTCTCTGTGTAATCTGTTTATACCTAATATATCGATGGTAGAACAAGTGCTCTCTGTGTAATCTGTCTATACCTTTTATATCGAGGGTAGAACTAGTGCTCTCTGTGTAATCTGTCTATACCTTTTATATCGATGGTAGAACTAGTGCTCTCTGTGTAATCTGTATATACCTCTTATATCGATGGTAGAACTAGTGTTCTCTGTGTAATCTGTCTTTTGCTAGTATATTGATGGTAGAACTAGTGCTATCTGTGTAATCTGTCTATACCTAGTATATCGATGGTAGAACTAGTGTTCTCTGTGTAATCTGTCTATACCTAGTATATCAATGGTAGAACTAGTGCACTCAGTGTAATCTGTCTATACCAAGTATATTGATGGTAGAACTATTGCTCTCTGTGTAATCTGTCTAGATCTAGTATATCGGTGGTATAACTAGTGCTATCTATACCTATTATGTAGATGGTAGAACTAGCGCTCTCTGTGTAATCTGTCTATATCTAGTATATCGATGGTAGAACTAGTGCTATCTGTGTAATCTGTCTATACCTAGTATATCGATTGTAGAACTAGTGCTCTCGGTGTAATCTGTTTAAACCTAGTAATGGTAGAACAAGTGCTATCTGAATAATCTGTCTAGACCTAGTATATCGATGGTATAACTGGTGCTCTCTGCGTAATCTGTCTATACCTATTATATCGATGGTAGAACTAGTGCTCTCTGTGTAATCTGTCTTTTACTAGTATATTGATGGTAGAACTAGTGCTATCAGTGTAATCTGTCTATACCTAGTATATCGATGGTAGAACTATTGCTTTCAGTGTAATCTGTCTATACCTAGTATATTGATTGTAGAACTAGTACTTTCAGTGTAATCTATCTATATCTAGTATATCGATGGTATAACTAGTGCTTTCAGTGTAATCTATCTATAACTTGTAAATTGATGGTAGAACTAGTGCTTTCAGTGTAATCTATCTATAACCAGTATATTGATGGTAGAACTAGTGCTTTCAGTGTAATCTATATAACTAGTATATTGATGGTAGAAGTAGTGCTTTCAGTGTAATCTATCTATATCTAGTATATCGATGGTAGACCTAGTGTTTTCAGTGAAATCTATCTAGACCTAGTATATCGATGGTAGACCTTGTGCTTTCAGTGTAATCTGACAGACCCATGAAAAATCTACCAGTTTAAAGTAAAATTAGAAATAAATTGTTCGAGAAGAAATTCTCTTTTCAGAATATTCTAGACTGAAAAATCATAAACTTTAGAGAATTTTCATTCATTCCTTATTTTCTTCAACATTTCGAGTTTGTGTCAGTTATAAGATAATTATTCCTTTAACTTCTAGATTAAGTTTGTTAGCTTCAACTTCAAGAAATCTAATGAGTTTCAGTTTATACTGGTTTATACTGGTTTATACTGAATATTTTTTTCCCCAAATTATAATTTGCAAATAAAGACTTTGTTTTTGCGCAAAGACGATATCATATGTTTGTTTTTTGTATTGTTTTATTAAAATCACATCCAGTTTTGGAGAAATAAAACTTCAGATGAGTCTGAAATGATTTGTTATTTTCAAAAATACATCTTACATTAGATTGGTTTAAAGAGAGTGCATATAACGGAAAATATTTACTTTTTATCAGAACAATAAAATAATAATAATAATATTAATAATAAATCATCAAAATAAAAGAAAAAGCGACAATTTTCATTTCGTTTTGCATTCAAATTTTTTTTTCTATCCATTTTTTTTGTCTCAGTAGTCATCATGGCAATATATTAAAATGACAGCAAGAAAACAGTAGAATTCTTGTTTTTTTATCCACTTGTTTTCGCATTTATTTTCTCTCCCTTTTAGTGTTAAAACATGCGGTTAAACCTTGTAAAAAATGCCACATTTCAAATTGTCTTAAAAGGACTGTAAGTGTAATATCAAGTTATCAACTATTTAAAGAGGGTATAATGCCCTATTTACAACGGTTCTCTTTAGACCTTTGACACTTCATAGATTACAGAAAGCTCCGAGTGTAAATATCTCGAATAGGGGTTGAATTACTGTAAAACCCGGTGTACGATGAGTAAAGTGTGAACTCAACAGTCCAAGATTGTGAATCGGACATACCACTCTACAAAAGCATTGTCACTTGAATTTACGCATATAGTCCCTTTAATCACTTTCCAATGAAGGGATGTATTAATTGATAAATTGAAATTTGCGTTTTCCGACCTGACATCTGTTGGAGACATTGTAATTTTGTATTGTAGTGAGGAAGTGGCAGGTCCAGGTGGTACTACAGGGTCTCCTGATATTGGTGTTACAGTTGCGCTTGCTGATCAACTTAACCTTGCAGATAAACTCAGGTAGAAAGCAATTTATCCTTATCTATATTAGCTTATCCATATTTTTTGTGGTAACTAACATGACCCCTGTCAATTAAAAAGTATTGAAGTTTAAAATTTTATGATATTCACCTGTGAAAACAGAAAATCCGCGAGAAAAAGCGGGTTAATTTAAGTAGCATTCTGTTTCGCGAACCTTCGCTAAATTCTGTATTTAGGTCTTGAACACAAAGCCAACCAATACGCAGATAGAACGGGTAGAAGCAATAACGTTTATTTCTTCAGTATGTTTTTACTGAAATACAATACAAAATAATTTTAAATGATTACAATAAAGCAAAACACTTTCTTAGCGAAGCACTCTGCAAGAACTGGTTTTTAAAATTTTATTATTTGTGTTTTCTAAATAAATAAAAATGTTTCAAGAAAGTTAATTCAGGATTTCTGAAGAACAGAGCTTGGAGGAATATTTTCTTCAAGGGCTAAGAACAGTTGTAGACCAAGGATTTATTCGTCTCAGGTACGTTTTCAGAATTTCAAATTTAATTTATAATTTTTACGCGTTTAAAGAAAATTTTGTAATATAATTCAAGATGTTAGACTTCTTATTGGGTATTTCCGTTTTTTTGCAGCACAACATTTATGGCCGGGACGACCCTAGATTGCTATTTCTAATTTAGAAACGTTAATTTTTTTAAAATTCAGATATTCTCTGGATGAGGCCACTAAGGTATTTGTGCCTGAAAGCGGGGAGAATATAACTCTTCTAATGGATCCGGCAGCTACGGTTAAAAATCTTTCCATCACATTACTCAGAGGTAAGAGGGCTACATACTGTCTCAGAGTTAAGTGGTCTAATTATCACATTGCTCAGAGTTAAGTGGTCTAATTATCACATTGCTCAGAGTTAAGTGGTCTAATTATCACATTGCTCAGAGTAAAGGGTCTAATTATCACATTGCCCAGAGTTAAGTGGTCTAATTATCACATTGCTCAGAGTTAAGTGGTCTAATTATCACATTGCCCAGAGTTAACAGCTAAAAAAACACACAATGTATGCAAAGATTTATGATAAATTGTTATCTTTTCATCAAGGAAAAAAATTCTTTCAATTTTGAAAAATTCTTTTTAAATAAACCGGATGTTCTTATTCTCATATTAATGCATTTAATTCTTTTTACTGCTACTTAAACGAATGCAGCCCGGTAACTTCAAAATAATCTTCTAATGCACTTTTTTAGTTACTTCAGAATATTACAAGAAATTGGAGTCGCCGCCAGGTTCTGGAAATAAAATGTATGTTTTAAAAATTGATTATTTCCTATTGATGCGTAAAGGAAAAGAATGTTAAACTTGTTCAATGAGTTTTATAATATAAACCTGACGAACAAAAATTGAACTGCTATGCATTGAAACCATTAAAATGTCTCTTTGTCTAAAAAACACATATCATCCTTGCATCTATTCCACCTACAGGGTTACCCACAAATAATAAGAAATGACTAAATTTATTTAGTCTATAGAAGGAAACTAGACCTAAATATTTTGGTGAACTAAGAAAACACGTAATAATTGAAAGGTATAAGACCAAATTGTCACATTTAATTAGTTCTGGGTCGATAAAAAAGTCGCATGCTTTGTGAGAAACCCTGCATGTATTTGTAATCCAAGCATCACAATGGCGGAGAAATTTGCACCAAGAGTGACACAGTTTTAACCAACAAGACTTTAGATCCAAAAGAGCCCCGGAAACATATTATAAACTTGAATAGAATTCTGTATTTAAAAGCCAAGATTGAGTGGAATAACAAACACAAACTATATTTTAAATTTTAACGATACAAACGATAAGTGTTGGACCAACTAAAGTTGATCTGAATAAACACGACATTCGCCTATGGTGAAAATATTTCCATTCGACTCCTCTGATCAGACCCTTCGTGCAAACTGGTGAATCCTGAGGAACCCTGGGGATAAGATGGCCGACGATCTGCTTTTTTTGCCGGCAAAATAAATGCCATTTTACTCATTTCTCCAGCATCGATCTTTCCCTAGCTACCCTTTAAACCACGCTTTTAACATCGTTAGACTGCCCCCCGTGGCTGGCGGGTGGTATCTCTAGATATGAAAGGGGGTTCAATACCCTTGTCTGCCTACACTGTTATGAATTTCTCGAAAATGTGAAATTCTTTTGCAAATAAAAAGGTTCCACCCACCCTTTCAATATACCATAGTTGCGCCTCTGAAAGTAAAATAAAAGTTTTCAAATATAATATCATGAGTTGGATGTTATTGTTGTCAACCCGTAAACAATCTAGATTTACATTTAAAGGGACTGTGTGGAGGTGAAATCTCAATATTCTATTTTATGAGGAAAATAGCCGGTAACTTTCGCGGTACCCTTTAAAACGTTTTCTTAGCAAAAATTATAAAACTTCAATCGTTCTTATTTTATGAAAAATTCAAAATTTGTATTTACGGATTCTCCTTTAAAGTGAATAGTGGAGTTTATGCAGTGGAGACACTGAACTTAAATTTAAAGAATTTAAAGAATCGTGTATAAAGATTTATCGGACATGAAGAGTAACGTTAAGTTACGTCTACAATCTGTATAAAGATCTATCTGACATGAAGATTAACGTCAAGTCAAGTCTACAATCTGTATAAAGATTTATCTGACATGAAGATTAACGTCAAGTTACGTCTACAATCTGTATAAAGATTTATCTGACATGAAGATTAACGTCAAGTTACGTCTACAATCTGTATAAAGATTTATCTGACATGAAGATTAACGTCAAGTTACGTCTACAATCTGTATAAAGATTTATCTGACATGAAGATTAACGTCAAGTTACGTCTACAATCTGTATAAAGATTTATCTGACATGAAGATTAACGTCAAGTTACGTCTACAATCTGTATAAAGATTTATCTGACATGAAGATTAACGTCAAGTTACGTCTACAATCTGTATAAAGATTTATCTGACATGAAGATTAACGTCAAGTTACGTCTACAATCTGTATAAAGATTTATCTGACATGAAGATTAACGTCAAGTTACGTCTACAATCTGTATAAAGATTTATCTGACATGAAGATTAACGTCAAGTTACGTCTACAATCTGTATAAAGATTTATCTGACATGAAGATTAACGTCAAGTTACGTCTACAATCTGTATAAAGATTTATCTGACATGAAGATTAACGTCAAGTTACGTCTACAATCTGTATAAAGATTTATCTGACATGAAGATTAACGTCAAGTTACGTCTACAATCTGTATAAAGATTTATCTGACATGAAGATTAACGTCAAGTTACGTCTACAANTTTTACTTTATCGTAATTATTATAAGCTATAGCTTCACAAACGGCTGGACCGAATGGGAAGGAACTATTTTGAGGAAATCCATGGGTGCCCGGGAATTAACATAGGTTTTTTATAACTTTTTATTTCAAAAATCAAAATTCAGCTAGTACCAAAAAAAACGATTAAGCCAAAAAATGTTATATAACCTTGCATATAACTCCCAGAAAAGGTTCCTGGCCGATCCAAATTTAAAAATCCTTTTTTTAATATAATCTGTAATGTTAATGATGGTAGCTTGGGTTAGATTTATTTGAAAATAAAAACCAATCTTGGATTAATTTGTTTTAGCTTGAGAAAACATCTAATGTAATTGCTTCTTGATGCTTCACATAGAAAACAGTAATTACTTTAGGAAATGCTGTAGCATCAGAACTTTGCTTCATCCTACTCCGCTTTATATGTCGTGATAGTCATTGACCCTTCACTTTCAAACACATAACCCTCATTAGGCGTTGATCTTTTATTTCTTTATATTCTTTACATGGTCAATTTGTTTTTATATTTAAGGCCCATTACGCTAAACCCCCCCCNCTCCTGAAGAAATAAGTATTACTGACAATCCGACGAATTCTAGGACCGTAGTTCTGTTGACATGTTTCCCAATTAAGGAACAGTGACGTACATAATCAATAAACTGGACTTGAGTAAGTGAATATTTATTAATGAGAATAGATGAAGGTGGAGAAAACAGTGAATTTCATTCATAATTAAAAAAAACATCTTAAAGGGAGTGTTCGCAAAAAATGAAAGGGGGCTTTCGTCAAAAAGAATTCGATTAAGATCGCTACTAATCTTACTTCTTTCTGTTGCGTCTGTTTAAGGATTATGAACGGCAGGCCAACATTTTTAGAAAGAAACGGATCCTTTCATTTTAAATATTTCAACAAAACTTCTAAAAAATCCATTTTTAAAATTTTGTCTTCTTCTTCGAAATATTGTTAGGATAAAATTTAACAATAGTACAAATATTGAAATTGAAAGGTTTTTATGATGTTTGTGTTTTGCGATGTTTGTGTTTAGTGATGTTTGTGTTTAGTGATGTTTGTGTTTCATGATGTTTGTGTTTAGTGATGTTTGTGTTTTGTAAATTAGATGAAATTTAAATAATAAAAATATTAATCAAATAATTGTTTCTTTGCCACAAACTCAATTTTTTAAATCTCTTATATCTTTGCAGCTTGATGGTGTAAACTTTAGATATTTAATAATTGAGTTATGTGATCTAACAGAATTCATAGTTTGAAATATCCAAGGTCCACGACAATGGGTTGCAAAGATTTAGGGATTAGAAAATCAGAGTTTGTGTCAAAAATTCATTTCCTTTGTTCTAGGTTTAGATAATCTGCCTGTTCCTAGCTCATTTGAGGGTTTAGTCAATCCAACGGTAAGTTTTATCCTTATTTATATCAATTTAAAGGGACTGTCAGCGTAGTTTTAAATGGCCCCGTAATTAAAGAGTTGAATAACAATGAAAGCAAAGAATTAAACCTTTATCTGAATATATGGACATTATCGTTGTTTCTATAGTTTTCACCGAAAAAAAGAACAAAATATCTCTGCAGATTTGCCCAAGTGAAGGTTTAAAGATTATCTTTAAAAATTGGACTGCAAACTCTTTGAAAAGAGAGTTCTTTCAAATTTTGTCGACGATCCCATTAACTAAAAATTAATTTTCTTTGATATTTCAAAATTTCTTTGTTTTGATAATTTTGTAGATACACCAACCTTTAGGCGAAGATTAATAATCATTGATTTTGGCAAGTTTAAAAAATCTATTTTTCATTCTTTCAAATTTTAAACAGTTCATCAATGGAAGAAAATATCTTGCAAACTCCTTTAAAGTAAAATTAGATGTTTAATGCAACCTCCATGCGAATTCAGAAGTCGTCATCAAAGACTTTATTAAAGTGGTGAATTAATTCCCATGTTTATTGGGAATTAACTCCCATCCCATGTTTATTGGGAATTAACTCCCATGTTTATTGGGAATTAACTCCCATGTTTATTGGGAATTAACTCCCATGTTTATTGGGAATTAACTCCCATGTTTATTGGGAACACTGTTGACTGTTGATAAAGGGATAAAGATGTCATCTTATACAATTTTAAGGTCAAGGATTTTTTAACTATTACATAAGGATATTCATTATTGCTAAATAATGAGTTTTAAGATAAGACAAATTAGAAAACCCATCCCAATTCAGAAAATAAAAAGAATAGCTCATAATAGGAAAAACAGAAAAGCAAGAAGATTTATAAATTGCATTTTTTTACTTTATCGTAATTATTTTTCACCCGGCTTTATCATCTTTGTCATCTGTACACTACACAGTGGCAGTTCATCAATGTCACTACATGATCTATACCTTTAACACAGATTCCCTTTGCTACCTGATCTCTGACCTTCTTGCAAAGACGACAGATTACGTCCCTTGTTTTAAGCTAAAAACTCACATTTTCTAATCCTTATTTCTTTGCAATCTGATGGTTGAAACCTAAATTAATAATAAATTAAATTATTTGAATTCATAGTTTAAAATATCAAAGGTCTACGACATTGGGTTGCAAAGATATAGAGACTAACAAATCAGAGTTTGTGGCAAAGACTCAATTCCTACAGTTTTTGGCACAATTCACTCGAACTCAGAAAAACCTAAAAGAATTCTCATGTTATAGTTTTTGACTTCTTAAAGCAAAAATTTATTATTTTAATTGTTATTTTTAGATTGACCTTGACGTTGAGAATATTGAGAAGGTTTTGAAACTTGCTCCCCGTCTGCTGCCGTACATCATGCAGGAGGGTCTTCAATTCATTAATTAATTCAATAATAAATTTAATAATCGTTTAATTAATCATGTCATTAATCAATCAATTAATTAATTATTTAATGAATTTGATAATCAATTAATTAATCATGTCATTAATCAATTAATTAATTGATTAATTAATAAATTAATAAATTTGATAATCAATTAATTAATCAATTCATTAATTAATTCATTAAACAATTTAATAATCAATTAATTAATCATTTCCTTAATAAATTCATTAAACAATTCATTAATCAAGTCATTAATCAATTTAATAATCAATTTATTAATCATGTTATTAATCAATTCTTTAATCAATTTAATAATCAATTAATTTATCATGTCATTAATCAATTCATTAATCAATATCTTAATTAATTTGATAATCAATTCATTTGTAAATTATAAATTTATTAATCAATTCATTAATCAATTCATTGATAAATTCATTTATCAAATCATTAATCAAATCATTAATCAAATCATTAATCAAATCATTAATCAAATCGTCAATCAATCTATGAATGAATTCATCAGTTCCCATTTTACTATTCTTGAAATTTAAATTAACATTGTGTCCCTAAAGAATATTTTTTTCATCTAAATATTTAATGACAGTTAAAGGGAGTAATCGCGAAAAACTGGTTAGAGGCGTGATCAATTAATCATTAGATCGGTAACAATTCAGATGTTGTATGATGTTTCGTTAAAGAGAAAATATAAAACTGTTTCCTGGAGAATCAAAAACCGGAAGTAAGCTATATCCCTTTCATTTTTCGCAAACATTTCCCATTAGATATATTTTGAAGACTAGTGTTGATTAGGACTATAAGGATAAACTACATGGACTCATGGTGGGGACTACTGTTACACAGGTATATTACAGACTACGGCGAGGCCAAATTTTCTTGTTAGAACTTTGTAAAACTATTAAAATTCACAATTTTATCATGATTTCGATTTTGTTTTTCAAAAGTTAAATAATTGACTCCAAAAATGAAAAACTCTTTTCAAAATTCAGAACTGGAAATTTTTAGGACCAATTGTTTGAGATTCATTCCTCTCTGGTGGAGTGGCATAATAAGATAGGTAAATATATATATATATATATATCTATATATGTAAAATTGTGATCTCTGTTTGTTTGTTCGATCATAACTGGGATTCCCTCTGAACCGATTTGTCTCAAATTTTAACTGGGGACTTGGGAGAACCACGGGAATGTTCTCAGCTTGATTCTAAGTTTAGTAGGCCGACTTTAATAACGAAAATTTTGTTTCCCGGTAAAATCGTTCAATTGTGATTTGTGGGTAAACGGCTGGAGTAAGTTTCAGTTCCCAAACTAGTATATATTCAGTGGTATTCTCTGTTAGTCTGTTAGTCTGTTAGTCTGTTAGTCTGTTAGTCTGTTAGTCTGTTAGTCTGTTAGTCTGTTAGTCTGTTAGTCTGTTAGTGTCTGTTAGTCTGTTAGTCTGTTAGTCTGTTAGTCTGTTAGTCTGTTAGTCTGTTAGTCTGTTAGTCTGTTAGTCTGTTAGTCTGTTAGTCTGTTTGTCTGTTTGTCTGTTAGTTTGTATGTCCAATCATTTCTCCCAGCTTGACCGATTCACCTCAAAGTTAGATTGGGCAACTTGGGAGAACCACGGAAATGTTCTAAGTTTGGTTTTACAATTATTTTGAGTGGGTTGACTTTAATAGGGAAAAAATCCAGGCAGATCTCGGTTCCCAAGCTGGTATCAAACAGTTTAACTCGAAAACTTGCCTACAGGGTTACCTGCAAAAAATGAGACTTTATGAATTTATTCAGAAAAACATAACATAATTTACATCTATGGTCCCATGCAAGTGCACCTACTTTTTCTTTGTTAAATAGTTAAGTATATCATTAAAATACCTACTCAATCACTTCAATTTTGGAAACCCCAATTTATTGTCTTGGTTGACCATTTAATTGTCCCGGCATAACCATGTTGCTGAACTCCCTGGCTGTCCACTTTTATTCTAGCTGGACTTCGTGTATTCAAGTGGAGTTTAATCATTTTAAATTAATTTCAATATTCTATTCATATTGATTATGGCATGGTGGAAAATAAGACTGCTCCTGTAGTTTGGTCAATGGTGGAGTTTTGCTTTTAGAGGTTGAGTTGGGACTTTCATATCTCTCTCATGATAACTAAAAATCCTAACTCAATCTTAAAATATTTGTGGGGTGGGGTGGAGAGCGTGTGACAACAGTTCTCGTTAGATCACTGAAGTTAAGCCCACTTGTCCACAGCCAGTAACTGGATTGGTGTCCAGGCTGGTGTTCACGGGTTCGATTCCCGTACTCTACACAAACCTCTGGTTTCAAAAACATCTGAAGCCGACATCTGGTTAAGCAGTTACGACCACCTGACGGATGTAGGAGGACAGAGGGGCGGCTGTCAACAACTCTCGCAGCGAAAGGGTGCGTGCTTTCTTCTCAACAAGAAAGAAGCTTCAATTGGGACTGATCCAAGTGAATGATGATGAAGAGAGGAATGGTGGACAAGCCGGGAGAGTCTATAGTTGCCAGCTATAGGTTCCTGGGGGTGTCCAATCCGGGCTTACAGATGTTAGGGAGCAATGAGTGTGATGTTTGCTATCAGTATGGCACCCGGGCCTCATTCCAGTATATCAGAAGGATTCCTGTACTCTATATTCTCAGGCCTAAGAAGAATCTTAGGCAGCTAGAATCTTGTCAACCCTCTTCTCAGAATGAATGAAGCGTGGATAGATGAATGTGCTGCCAGATTACAACCCCTGGTAGATCAATATAAAAACCCAGACAACACCAAACTTTTGCAATAGAAAAAATTCCGAGATTTGATCGTAACAACCCGATCATGTCCTGGGGACAAAAAATCTCTTTTAAAAAATCTTAAAATATTCCAATTAATTACACGTTTATGGATAGATGCAGAATTCCAAAACTGTTTAACAAAAATATTCAGTTATATAAATCCTGCGGATATTTTTCATAATGATTTCTTGAGCAATTATTTTTGAACGTACTTTAATATTCAGAAACAGATGCCAATATAATTGTTATCGTGAGTGCGTAATGTATGTATGTTTTTATTTTTTATAGTGGAAGTTTTCCCGAAATTTCTAATTTATGACTAATTTAGAGTCTGTTCGAGATGGTTTACCAGTAGGAGGTATTCATAGAGTTCTTGGGATTCTTCAGGTGACTAAGTATTATCATTATTTATGTTATCATTCATGTAGTCAGTTCTAACATGGCTAATGTACATTAGTTATACCGCCATCATTTCGGTTAATATGAAGCAAATATTAATCTTTTACTGTTTCTGAACAAAATCTTCTCTATCTGTTTGTGTTTATGAACATGATCTGTCTCTTCTCTATCTTTTTCTGTTTCGGAACACAATCTGTTTCTTCTTCATCTGTTTCTGTTTAGGAACACAATCTTTTTCTGTTAAGGAACAAAATATGCTTCTTCTCTATCTGCTTCTGTTTAGGAACACAATCTGTTCCTTCTCCATCTGTTTCTGTTTAGGAACATAATCTGTCCATTCTCTATCTGTTTCTGTTTAAGAACACAATCGGTCCCTTTTCTATTTGCTTCTGTTTAGGAACACAATCTGTTTCTTCTCTATCTGTTTATGTTTAGGAACATAATCTGTTCGTTCTATCTGTTCCTGTTTAGGAACACAATCTGTTCCTTCTTAATCTGTTTAGGAACGTTAATCCGTTTCTTCTGTAACTGTTTCTATTTAGTTACACAATCTGTTCCTTCTATACCTGTTTCTGTTTAAAAACACAATATGTTCCTTCTATATCTGTTTCTGTTTAGGAACATAATCTGTTCCTCCTCTATCTGTTTCTGTTTAGGAACACAATCTGTTCCTTCTCTATCTGTTTCTGTTTAGGAACACAATCTGTCCCTTCTCTATATGTTTCTGTTTAGGAACATCATCTGTTCCTTATCTATCTGTTTCTGTTTAGGAACATAATCTGTTCCTTCTCTATCTGTTTCTGTTTAGGAACATAATCTGTCTCTTCTCTATCTGTTTCTGTTTAGGAACACAATCTATTCCTTCCCTAACTGTTTCTGTTTAGGAACATAATCTATCCCTTCTCTATCTCCTGGTCCATCTAATGCACGAGGCGGGGGAGACGGGGAAGGTTGGAATAACCCACCACCATCTCCAGGTCATAGACAGGTAACATGCCATCTTCAATTAGATTTCCATTTATACACCATCTCCATCGTTATCCTTTAACTCAAGTCTATGCCTTGCAGGACGACTGTTAAACTCAAAATATGACTTTTCATTTTTTAAAATCCGATTATAAAATACAGTAATTTTGCAGAGTACACAGACCCATAGGTAGATTTCCTAACTATAATAATGTGCTTTTTATAACAACATTAAAACTAAAATTGCACAATATTTTTTAAAAAAGCAAAAAGTTAAATAACTGAATAAAGCATTTTCAGTGAATTCTTTCAAATCAAATTTATATTTTTTCTAAATATTTTCGAACATTTATTTTTATCGGGTATTTTTGTTTTTGTCAAAAAACTGATTCCCCTGCTCGGCCTGCTCGGCCATGACTGAAAATGACGTTTTTATCAAAATTTAGGTTTTAAATTTAATTTCTCAATAAATGTGAATGTGGTCAGCAAACCTATGTCTCTTATCATTTTATCTTTTAAACCTGATGTTGTAGACATTTGATTTTCAAAATTTAAAAAATGATTAAGTATTAAAGTACTAGGATTTTATGGCGCTTCGCGCCCATCTTCTATTTAAATTGTGAACATGTTCTTTTTGTTTACATTTTTAAACAAAGAAGAAAAAAATTACTAGGATTTTAGGGCGCTTCGCGCCCATCTTCTATTTAAATTGTGAACATGTTCTTTTTGTTTACATTTTAAAACAAAGAAGAAAAAAATTTCGTGGATTTATTCTATTTAAATTGTGAACATGTTCTTTTTGTTTACATTTTTAAACAAAGAAGAAAAAAATTTCGCGGATTTAAAAAAAAATCGCGGATTTTCAAGAATTTAAATTTTTTTTACAAAATTAAAAACCTTTAAAACACATTTTTTAAACCTTCCCTGTGGTCACGTGATGTCCCACAAAAAATTGGGGCCCTATCGGTTCAGCCGTTTTGACGTTTATTGGATACAAACAAACAAACAGACAAACAAACACCCAGACAAGCCAAATTTATATATAGATTAAATACCAAATGTTTATATCATCAAATTGAAAAGATAAAGGGATTAGAACATGCAAGAATGCCCTGGGTCGAGGCGAGAAATCCGTTACTTTATGTTAATGATATAATAATTTTCACTTTTTTATTTTTATTAGACATCTACTCAGACCTGAGGATTTATTTCCTGGTCTTAAGCTGTTGATATGAATAGCAGCAACAACAACCACATATACTACAACAACAACAACAACACTCTGTAGTTTGTAGCTATCTACCAACAAGCAGAAATGCTTTTATTTTTTTCTATTGTTATTGTTATCAATTTTCTATAAATTATTTTATATCTATTTGTAAATAAAGATTTATATTTTTCCATTTTTTATTCTTTTACGTATAACAACTGATATTGTAACAAATATATTTAAATATAATTATATGCATATTGGCGAAAAATTATTAGTCGTTTTTAACAATTTTCTCCTTATAGACGCAACAGAAGTAAGATTAGTAGCGATCAAAAGCGCTTTTTTATCGCATTAAGCCTATACCCCCTTTTCATTTTTCGCGAACACTCCCTTTAATGTATTATAAAGAAAAGCATAATACATAAATATTCAAGTCTGCATGAAGTCGGTTAATTTAACCCTATTCCGGCAGGGTTATTTTTTTTCTAATATAGGCTGGGGAGAGGGGTGTTTTCCACCCCCCGCCCCCTCCTTCCCCTTTGATTTTTCCCTGAGAGTTGAGCTAGGAGGCATACATTATACATGCCCTTAGTCCAAATTTTCAAGGCCTGCTCATTGAAAAAAAATTAGACTTCTAACTTTAATGCTTAGGGCGCAGGGAAGGATTTTAAAAAAGTTCAAAAAGTACGTCGAAAAATTGTTCAAAAATGATAATTTTTAATTTAGACAAATATTCATATGTGTCACATGAGTTTACAGCCGTTTTTCAAATAAATAAATTTTAGCCCTGTAGCTTAAATAATAAAGATATTAAGAAGCATTTATGATTTTTTAAACATCAACCTGACGGAAGGGTACCCCATACACCAAAACATAATTTTTTAGCAAAATATGTTCACAACTGTGATGTTGAAAAGGTGAAGAATTTCACTAATAAAATTATGTAATTGAAAGACAACCTCTGGTGAATCTAAATCTATACTGTTGTTTTTAAATTACTTTTTTTTCTGCAATTGCATTTTTAAATACATATATCTTTTTCTCTTTCATCAGAAACTTTATATTTATTTTTCAAAGGTAAAAATGCATCAAAGAAATTATAAAAACTTGAAGGATATAAATACTCTAAAACAAATGTTATATTGTAAAGGAACAAACTTAAATTTTCTAATTCCTAAATCTTGGCAAACTAATGGTGTACACCATTAATATTTCAAACTTAAATTATTAGATTTAACAGTTTCATAGTTTAATATATTAAAGGTCTACGACATTAGATGATGGGAGCGTTGTTAATTGGATAATGGATATCCCACCATTGTAAATAAACAGTCACTAAAAATACATCGATATACTCACCTGAAAATAGAACAACAAATAGTTTTAAAAATAGAACTAGGAAACATAAATAAAAGTATTTAAAAAGATTTTGTCGTAAGAAAACAATTTTCTAGCTAAAATGTTTACGAAAACACTCACTCAGAACAGCCCTACCTAGAAAACATAAGCGGAGAATAATGAATCATAAAGTATACAGGGTGACCCAAGAAACATGAGACTTTGTATAGTATAGAGCTTACGGAGATGTTGATATTTAGACAACTTCAGGGGACAAAAGTTCAAAACCGGTGTTTTCCCCATTTATAAAACTAATTGTTAGAAAAGGGCAAATCTGCTTTGGTTTCCTATTTCAGAAGGAATAATTCCGGTTGGAACTAATGTCCACTGAATTTTTAACTTATTTAAATCTTTGTTTGCACAAATCTTTTTATTTCTTCAACAATTTTCAGATATTATAAAAATGTCAGACCCAATTCTAGATTTCCTTAAAAAAGAAGATTTTTTATTAAAAATATTTCATGAGCAACTAAAATGTTTTTAAATTGGAATCACAATAAAAGTTATTTTGATCGAAGACGACTAAACATTCTTCACTTGATTAAAATGTGATTTTTTGTCAAGTGCACCCGCGGAACATTATTGGATTAGAGGTTCCTTCTCTAGAAACATTATCATTAATTGATATTATCGAAAATTATCTATTTTTAAGATTCTTTGAAGCAATTAAATATTTTGTTTTATTATCCATTTACGCCAGAACTTCATATCTTAGAACATGACTAACTAAACTGATTTTCACGTATGCTACGGGGTCAACAAAATGTACAAGTAATGTCGCATAGATTTGACAAATTGTTGCTGAATTCTTCTCAACAACATGATAAAGAAATATGCTCTTTCGATAAGACAAGAAAAGAACTATAGAAGGTCCTTTAAAGTAAATGTTTTATTTAAAGGTGTAAACTGTCCGGTAAGTTATTCTTTTGAGTCTCTAAAAAATACCGCTTGCCATACGGATATATCGGGTCTGACATTATTTTGAACTGATTCATACGGTTCAAACGACAGAAACCCCAGTCTCAATTACATTAATTATGTTCGAAAGTTTGGAGATATCATTTTATGAATTTTTTATATATCTTAAAAGAAAAAGATCAGATTGTTTCAAAAATTAAATGTTCTGTAATAAAAATATGAAGTACAGTACAGTACACCACGTACATTCTTAACATTTCTCTGCAATGCATCCATTTTAAAAACAATTTTCAAAAATAAATATTACTATTAAAACGTAAAAGGCAATTTTTATACACTTTCACTTTTCCTAGTACAAAATCTATAAATTTTACTTATATTTTTGTATTTATATTAAAATTTGGATTTCAGCCAAAAACCGATTAAAAGGAAGATAACGAGTAAAGGATCAGTTCACTTGAAGTGATAAGAATTTATATAATTGTGAAAATAGACGACATTACATTGATTATACAATATACAGGGTTAACCACAAGAAATGAGACTTCAGAGAAAACTGCGTGGGATTTTATTGAATCTTTTTTGGTTTCATAAGTCAGACTGTCAACTTGTTTTTTTAAATATTAAGTTTACCCTAAAACAAAACAATATTAAAAGCTGATTGGATCAAAATCCAACCTATTATATCGTCTTATTTAAAGAGTTCTATTGTGGGTCTGGGATTGATCTTGTTTGGCTTTGAGCCCTGTAAAAATAGAATAAATTAGACCTTTATCTATTATTTTTAAATACCTATGTCCGAAATCTGTCCGACATTTTTTAATTCAAATTTTTTATTAAAAAAACATAAAGTTTTATCGTCTATAGCGCTTGAAAATAATTTGCGGGATGTTGGGTTATTTTAGCCTCCATATAGGAGCATTTAATTAATATACAGTGAAACCCTTAATAACGAATAAATCGAAAGAATTCATCAAATGTCGTATTCTTCACTTTCTGATAATGGAATGTTGCAGATGTTTAGTTTTTTAATTAAATGATTATATGGAACTCTTTAAAACTGTTCTCGCATATTCATGTCTATTTAATCATTTTCGCAAATACTGAAATTTACGTAATATAGTATAAAACTCATTAAAAATTGTCAAGACGACATTTGATAAATTCTTCCGATGTATTCGTTATTAAGGGTTTCACTGTACTGGGTCAGCCACAAAGTATGAGAGAGTAAAGACGACCTGAAACTCATATAATATGACGATTCGCAGGTCAAATTTATTCTTCTGCCTTGCTTATAATCTTTTAATGGTTTATTTTGATGTGGCAAAGAAAAAAAACAAGTTTACAGTTGTTGCAGGGAATCGCAAATATATTAAAACAGAGTCCGAATTTAATGAATTTGAGTCGCGTCTCAAATCCCTCAAAAACCGGTTTCAATTAAGTGCCGGCTTAAATCTTGAATCATTGAATACGATTTCAAGTGGAACCAACCATATTTGAGTCGTGACTGAAATTACTTACTTACTTACTTACTTACTTACTCACTTAAGCCGCGGCTCAAATTCTTTAAATTCGGCCTCAGACGATGTAAATTAAAAGTCTCAACCTTTGTGGTTAACCCTGTAATATCCAGCTTCACTACTAAAAGAAAAAGAATTATATGGACCAGTGAGTTATCTCTGATTTCTTAGTCCTGACATAAAATCTGGATTAAACTCCTAATATTAGATTTAAACTGAGAACTGGGGGAACCTGCTGACTAAACGACATTTCTTACATATCAACAACTCAATACATTTAAAGAGATCGGACTTTATATTTGGTCCACTTTGAAGTGTTGCAAGCGACCCCTTGGCCTGGCCGTTGGTTTTACCGTACTAACTTTTACGCACTCATACTTCTTGTATATTCACATTTTAGAACTTTAAAGCATTTTTAGCTTTTGTTAAACTTTAAAAGTTATTAGCAAAACTATAACAATTTTTTCGTTTAAGCTTGTAGCACATAAATCATTGTGGTGGAGAACATTTTATTTGAAAAGGAATCTTGAATGAACTTTGATAAAAAAAAAATTGTTAATAACACGTAAAATTTATAATGATATGTACTATTGTGATATTAGAAGACGACTTTGTTAGACTCAAGTTGGGATTTTTGAAGTCCAATAAACATGAAGGACTGCAATAATTAAGTGTTTATAAACAATTTGATTATTAGGTTATGTGAAACACTTTTTGCCTTTTAACAACATCAAAACACATAATTGTGTTCTTTGTATGCCAACATTTTTTTTGGGTCCGACTCCGACTGCATAATATATTAGAAAAAAAAGGACTTTTAAATTTCACATTAAGTTTGTACTTTGAAATGAAAAGCGATATAAAGAAGTTTTTCCGCAGGATGTGTTTAATTTCAAGGGAAATTTTTTTTTTATTAATCTTATGAAAAACTTTACTTTTTTTCGAAAATTTTCTTTAAAGACTGAAATAACAAGAATTTTAAGATTTATTCTGATGAATTGTACAACAACTAATGTTTACATTTGTTTTTTCTATGATTATCAAAGAAACTATTGCTAAAAATCCGGAAAATAAATCACTGAAATTATTTTAGTTGGAATTTTTTTTTATTTAAAAATAAAAATATGTAAAATGTTTTCCAAAAAAAAATAATATTCTTTTTAAGTATTCTAAAAAGATAAGTGACTTTCTGAAAGAACTGAAACCTTTTAAAAGATTTAGTTTCTTTCTGACTTTTCCCTTCTCCTAATAATCTTAACTTGTAAATCTTAACTTTTCCATTCTCCTAATAATCTCTTCCGAGCCGCAACTAATTCTTAATTTTTGCATTCTACCAATATTCTCTTCCGAGCCGCTTCTAATCTTTAAATTTTGCATTTTCCTAATCAATTCTTCCGAGCCGCTTCTAATCCTTAACTTTCCCATTCTACTAATAACCTCTTCCGAGCCGCTTTGTAATACTCATTTATAACATTTGTGCCAGGTTCACAACGGTCCTCTTAGGTCAAAGCTCACTTTGTGTTCCAGCGTTATTTAAGCACCTTTTTTTCAAATTAATTCTAAGCTAAAATATTTTTTAAACCTACAATTTACTCATAATTATGGTAAAAGAGGTTAAAACTTAAATGTAAAAAGATATTTTTTATTTAAATGAACTCTGATCATCTCTGTCTTTCTAAACAAAATACTTGTTTTTGATTTTGATTTGAATTTTTATCTTAAAACAGCACTGTGCTTAAATTCCTAAACAAGTTTTTAAAAGGTGTAGATTGATGCAACATGTTGATAATTCAGGGTGTTTATTATCAACACAATAGTCTCAAATATAAATTGTTCTGATCTTTAAAATATAAATTATGAAATCTTTCCATCCCGTGTGTTTCCGGGCATTTGTAATTTATCAATGTTTAAATTAAATTAATTCACAAATTTTAAAATGTAATATATTGAGAGTCCACGAGCTCAGTTAAAGGGAAACCCTGCACATGCTTTAAAAGTTCTTGCATAGCAACAGATGAGCTTTAAAGAAAAAGTTTACGATGTTCGACGATTTTTAACTTTTAATTTAATTTGTTTACATCATGAAAACCGGATTTTTGTGGGTGTCATGTTGTCATCGTTCATTTCAAGGATGTTCAACACACAAAGTACATATCCTTGATTTCTTCTAAAAATATAAACTTTAAGCTGTTTAGAATTTTATCGTTTTTTTTTCAATTTAATATTTTGGGATCAGCTGTTTGAAATCCCCCAGAATTTATACTGGGAACATATTAAAATTTTCAATCAGGATTAGATGATAACCCCCCCCCTGATAATAAAAGCCAATACTTTTTCAGGTGGGGGCTTACCTCCGTAGTTCACCCCCCCCCCCTAATATCCCCCACACTGCAATACTTTTCCAGGTGGGGGCTTACCCCCGTAGTTCACCCCCCCCCCTAATATCCCCCACACTGCAATGCGTGATTTTATGTAGGTAGACGGATGAGTCGCGTCTGCCTTTCTACCCTTTTAAGGGATAATATTCCTCACAATGTCTCAGAAACTGTTTTTTTTTTAATTTCAAGTTTAGAATTGTTTAAACCCTTTTAGTTTAAGTTGTATAAAGATTATCACTAAGATTAAACTTCACTCGGAAAAAGTTTAATATATTTAAGTTTAACAAAAGTGAAGAACTAGAAATCTGCGAATAGAAATTTAAAATTATTTTTTTTGCAACTCCCTTGGCTTGAAAGAGAAATCCCGGTCCTAGCTAGGCTCAGTTCAGTTTGAGAGTTTTCAGTTTTAGGTGCATAAGCATTGCATGTCTACTTTCTAGCTATATATAAAACCCTAACAAACAATTACACGCCTTACTTTTTATTCTTTTTCTTTACTTTCATTTATCAACATTTAAGTTTTCAACATTATTTCAATCAATTTTCTTTATTTGATTTCTAATCTAATCTAATCTAATATTTTATTTTTCCGTTGAAAATATGACAGTTTAAGCATAAAAATAACATATCTATATGATTTCTATTCATTTTCGTCGGATGGAGAGCAGCAATAGCAGGACTGTGTTCAAGTTGGTATCCTGGCAGTTTACCATGCATGGTGAAAATTAAAACTACTTCGTTTGACTGTTTTTCATGATTTCTTGTCCTTGGATTTTGATTTGGATATATTTTCTAATATTGGAGTAATTTGGGGTGGGGTAAAAGCGTTAGCTCATTGACGTTAAGCGTTCTAGTCCACAGTCAGTAACTAGATTGGTGTCCAGACTGGTGTTCACGGGTTCGATTCCCGTACTCCAAATAAACCTGTGGTTTCAAAAATATCTGAAGCCGACATCTTGTTATGCAATTATGACCACATAATGGATGTAGGAGGATAGAGGGGCGGCTGTCAACAACTTTCGCAGCGAACGGGTGTGTGCTTTCTACTCAACAGAAGACAGAGGCTTTAAGTGGATGATCCAAGTAAAATGATAATGAAGAGAGGAAAGGTGTACAAGCAGGAAGAGTCTATGGTTGCCCGCTAGGTACCTGGAGGTATCCAATCAGGGGTTACAAATTACTGGGAGCAATGAGTGTGATGTTTCCTATATGTAAGGCACCTGGGCCTCATTCCAGTATATGCGAAGAATTCCTGCACTCTATTATTCTCAGGCCTAAGATGCCCTTAGGCAGCTGGAATATTGTCAACCCTCTCCTGAGGATGAATGAAGCGTGGATGGATGAATGTGCTGCCAGATTACAACCTCTGTAGAATAATATAAACCCAAACAACACCAAACTTTCGCAACAGAAAAATTCCGAGATTTGATCTTAACAACCCGATCATATCCTGTGATTATAAAATTAAATTAAAAATATTTTTGAATTCATTCCATTTACATTTTCTACTTCCTATTATAAAAAATGTTTAAAATATTTAAAGGATGAAGACCATCCTAAAATTAAAAAAGACTAAAAAATAAAATTGAATATAAGATGATTCATCGAGTTATTAATCAATCAATTAATTAATTTATCAAATAAATTAAATAAATTAAAAAAACAGATTATTGATTTGTTATATATAAAAAGATATACTGTTTTTTTTCAGAGAAAATGGGGAACATTCTTTCTTTTCTTTTCCCAGAGAAGGGTCAACTCCCTCAACCTTCTCCATCCTCTTCATCTCAGGTAATTATCCTTCCTCATCCTTCCTCATCCTTATTCAACCTTCTTTACCCTCTTTATCTCAGGTAATTATCCTTCCTCATCCTTCTCAATCCTCTTTATCTCAGATAATTATCCTTCATCATCATCCTTCCTCATCCTTCCTCTTCATCTCAGGTAATTATCCTTCATCATCCTTCCTCATCCTTACTCATCCTTCTTCAACCTTCTGCATCCTCTTTATCTCAGGTAATTATCCTTCCTCATCCTTTCTCACCCTTCTTCATCCTCTCTGTCTCAGTTTAGTATTTTTCATCATCATCCTTTCTCATCCATCTTCATCCTTTTTAATCCTTCCTCATACTTCCTCATCTTTCCTCATTCTTCCTCATCTTTCCTCATTCTTCCTCATCTTTCCTCATTCTTCCTTATTCTTCCTCACCCTTCCTCATCCTTCCTCATACATCCTTATCCATCCCTAATTCTTCATCCTTTCCTCATTACTCGTCCTTTCCACCCTTTCCTTACTTTCTCATAACAATCTCATCCTATCATTCTCTCTGCATTTTCTCTTCATTTTTAATACTTTCTTCCTTTCTTTTCCAATCTTCATATACTTCCATTCGTATACCTTTTTTCTATCTTATCCTATACTTTGATTATCAAAATCCGAGAAACAAAGCTTACAGTTCCCCGTTGGATATTCAGTTTAATTTGACATCATTGTCAAACTGCTAACCACAACTATTTTTGTACCTGGTCTTGGATTGATTAAACTATTTTTGTACCAGGTCTTGGATTGATTAAACTATTTTTGTACCTGGTCTTTGATTGATTTAACTATTTTTGTACCTGGTCTTGGATTGATTTAACTATTTTTGTGCCTGGTCTATGATTGATTTAACTATTTTTGTACCTGGTCTATGATTGATTTAATTATTTTTGTATCTGGCCTTGGATTGATTTAACTATTTTTGTACCTGGTCTTGGATTGATTTAACTATTTTTGTACCTGGTCTATGATTGATTTAACTATTTTTGTACCTGGTCTATGATTGATTTAACTATTTTTGTACCTGGTCTTGGATTCATTTAACTATTTTTGTACCTGGTCTTGCATTGATCAAACTATTTTTGTACCTGGTCCATGATTGATTTAACTATTTTTGTACCTGGTCCATGATTGATTTAACTATTTTTGTACCTGGTCTATGATTGATTTAATTATTTTTGTATCTGGCCTTGGATTGATTTAACTATTTTTGTACCTGGTCTTGGATTGATTTAACTATTTTTGTACCTGGTCTTGGATTGATTTAACTATTTTTGTACCTGGTCTTGGATTGATTAAACTATTTTTGTACCAGGTCTTGGATTGATTAAACTATTTTTGTACCTGGTCTTTGATTGATTTAACTATTTTTGTACCTGGTCTTTGATTGATTTAACTATTTTTGTACCTGGTCTTGGATTGATTAAACTATTTTTGTACCTGGTCTTTGATTGATTTAACTATATTTGTACCTGGTCTTGGATTGATTTAACTATTTTTGTACCTTGTCTTGGATTGATTAAACTATTTTTGTACCTGGTCTTTGATTGATTTAACTATTTTTGTACCTGGTCTATGATTGATTTAACTATTTTTGTACCTGGTCTTGGATTGATTAAAGATTTTTAGGTTAAAAAGATCCCAAAATCGTTTAAAAATTGGCTTAAAAACCAATATTTTCTCAACCCAATTCCGTATTATTTTATTAAATTTTATTAACGGGTTTCCATACATAAACCAGCAGGCCAATAATATGAAGTGGCCAGATAGTACGATAAAGGAAGGGTATAGGAAGATATCGTGGTCACAAGGGGGATAGCATTTTTTTTAATAGTAATTTCCTGTTAGTAAGATAGTCATCGAATAAACTTGGGTTGTCGAATTAAAATACAACATTGATCAGAAAGAGACATGTTTAGATAATTATTTATATTTAGGATGAAAGTTCCCTGGTTACTGGTGTTTCCTCTTCACAAGATCCTCCCGCTGATCCTGAACTGGTTTCCGAAGCAATTGCATTTGAAAAACCGGTTCCAGAGCCAGTTGAAGAGCCGGCTTCAGCAGCTGTTCAAGATCCCGTTCAAGAACCAGTTCCTGAACTCGTTCAAAAAACAGTTCCTGAGTCTGTTCAAGAACCAGTTCTGGTTCCTGGGCCAGTACCAGAACCAGAAGTGGTTCCTGTCCAAATTGACGTAGAAGATGATGATATAGAAATCATTGGAAATATATCTGATAAAGGCGAAAACATTATGGATTCTGCTCCTTTGATTGAAGATACACCCATTAAGGAAGATTATCCTGTGTTTGTTAAAGAAGATTCTCCTGCGCCCGTTAAAGAAGATTCTCCTGCCCCTGTAAAGGAAGATTCTCCTGTGCCCGTTAAAGAAGAACCTGTGGTTTCAAAAATATCTGAAGCCGACATCTTGTTATGCAATTATGACCACATAATGGATGTAGGAGGATAGAGGGGCGGCTGTCAACAAATTTGTTAAAGAAGATTCTCCTGCCCCTGTAAAGGAAGATTCTCCTGTGCCCGTTAAAGAAGATTCTCCTGTCCCTGTTAAGGAAGATTCTCCTGTGCCCGTTCACGAAGATTCTCCTGCCCCTGTTAAAGAAGATTCTCCTGTGCACGCAAAAGAAGATTCTCCTTCCCCTGTTAAAGAAGATTCTCCTGTGCATGCAAAAGAAGATTCTCCTTCCCCTGTTAAGGAAGATTCTCCTGTGCCCGTTAAGGAAATTGATCAAGGAGTTGAAACTACTAACAACCCTGATGTTGAAATAATTGACTTTAATGAAGATGATTCAAATGTAGCAATCACTGCGCCGAATATAGAACCTTATCCTGAATTTGTTAAAGCAGACTCTCCTAACCCTGTTAAATCAGATTCTCCTGAACCTGTTAAAGCAGATTCCCCTGAACCCTTTAAAACAGAATCTCCTGAGCCAGTTAAAGCAGACTCTCCCGAGCCTATTAAAGCAGATTCTCCTGAGCCCGTTAAGGAAGACTCTATTGAACCTGTTAAAGCAGATTACCCTGAACCCATTAAAGCAGACTCCCCTGAACCCGTTAAAGCAGACTCTCCGGACCCGGTCAAAGTAGACTCTCCGGAACCGGTCAAAGTAAACTCTTCGGAGCCTGTTAAACTAGGCTCTCCTGAACCCGTTAAAGTAGACTCTCCGGAGAATGATGATGACTCATCAAAAGCCTCAATTGTGAAACTGAGAGATTTCTTGAGTGACCCAGTTGATGATGTTGAGATAATCGGGAGTATTGACGAGAATGAAACTAATGAAAATGGCCTGCCAAGATTGGATAATTGAAGCGGAACTGAATACTTGATGTGATTTAGCTTGCAGTGTCAATTCAGTTTAACTGCACAATAAATAAAAACATAACTAAATAATGCAATTAAACGTGTACAGTAAAGTTTACATTGGAAACTTGGAACATGTACTGTATAATTAATAAAATGAAACCTAAAGTTGAAATGTATTACTCTCCAGTTATTAAACATGCGCACAGTTACTCATTTCTATTTCCAATTTCCTATTAAATAGAACATAATTTAATTTAAAAATGCTTTTGATGAAGGTATGGGCATTGTTTTCATTGTCTTAAAATAATCTGAGATAAATATGACATATCAAAATCCGAGCATACAGTATATTTAGAAATAGGATATAGATCTCCGATCTATGTCAAGCCTTTTAAAAGCCAAATAACCTGAGGCCGAATTTAAAGAATTTGAGCCGCGGCTTAAATATGGTTGGTTCAAATTAAAATTGTATCAAATGTTTCAAGATTTAAGCCGGCGCTTAATTTAAACCGGGTTTTGGCGGATTTAAGCCTTGGCTCAAATTCTTTAAATTCGGCCTCTGGAAAACTTAAAAATTGACCTCAAAGTTAAGGTGAAACTATTTTATCGAAAATATCAAAACCTTTCTGAACCAGCAAAATATCCTACAGTAGCAAATTAAAAGCAACATTTGTAAGAGAAAAAATTGAAAAAATCTGAACTTGTAATTGACGATTCAAAAACAGCATTCGCAAAGAAAGGTCCATTTTATAAATGTTTTAGTATCAAACTGTGGTTCTTGAACCGCTGAACAGTGAACACCGCTCATTCTTCTGTTTTTCGATCTTTCAAAAATTGTTTTATTTATGGGTTTTATCAAAAAGTGCCAAAGTGTTTCATCTTAACTCAGTGCTTTGATACTTGATAGTGGATAATACAAAGAGCTGATGAAAGTGTTGCCATTTATATATTTTTGGATTTCACACTTTCTTATGATATATTCATAGCTCTTTTATCAAACCAATGTTATACTCCAACTTTTCTGAATTAGTAGTGTCACTGTGTCATAAATGTAAGAACTTTTTTTCTAAATTTGAAAAATAGAAATAATTCAAAATATAAAATTTCAGGTTTCATAAAGGTTATCGCCGTCGGTAATTGAGGTCAAATGTTTTTTTTAATATCTTTAAGAACTATTGTTTTAACACATGTCCCATTAAAAAAAACTACATTTGGTCTAAAATGTATTTACTGTATTAACTTATTTGAATCTGGAAGCATTGAATTATTTGGGTGATTCAAAAATATGTAATTTACATAACTTAGTCTGATGTTATCCACAAATTTTAATATTTTTAATAAAGATTTGTACAAAAGTGTTTCAGATCGTCGTCGAATTCCCAAAATTTCAAATCCCCGTATACATATACTACAAATGGAAAGATGGACAAATTTACAAATCAAAACATAAGATTATAAAGTGATAACCAGAAAACTCTGGAAAAGGAAGACGACATTAAAGAAATACTGAAGTTCATTTGATGTTGTTACAAAGCAAATTGCTTTACTAGTAAGTGATTAAATAATTGACTGAGTAAAATAGGCCTGTATACACTGCACAATTGCTGTGCTGCATCATCATTGGACTATTTAAAGTCATAACTTGAGTCTAAAATTCGAATTCCTATTTCAGAGTTTTCTGGTTATCACTGTACAATGTACATGACACTAAATATATTTATGTACACATTTACAAACTTTAAGAGTTAACCAGAAAATATGTAACTATAGATTGTCATGGTACTATTAGATTGTCAAGGTAACTATAGATTGTCAAAGTAACTATATGATTGTCAAGGTAACTATGGATTGTCAGGGTAACTATGAACTGTCAGGGTTACTATGGATTGTCAAGGTTACTATGGATTGTCAAGGTAACTATGGATTGTCAGGGTAACTATGGATTTTCAAGGTAACTATAGATTGTCAAGGTAACTATGTTTTGTTAGGGTAACTATGGATTGCCAGGGTAACTATGGATTGTCAAGGTAACTATGGATTGTCAAGGTAACTATGGATTGTCAGGGTAACTATGGATTGTCAGGGTTACTATTGATTGTAAAGGTTACTATGGATTGTCAAGGTAACTATGGATTGTCAGGGTAACTTTGGATTGTAAGGGTAACTATGGATTGTCAAGGTAACTATGGATTGTCAAGGTAACTATGGATTGTCAAGGTAACTATAGATTGTCAAGGTAACTATGGATTGTCAGGGTAACATATATGGATTGTCAAGGTAACTATTGATTGTCAGGGTAACTATGGATTGTCAAGGTAACTATGGATTGTCAAGGTAACTATGGATTGTCAAGGTAACTATAAATAGCCTTGGTAACTATATGGATGGATAATCATGGTAACTACAGGATTGTTTAAGTAACTATGGAAACATGGTAACTAAATGATTGTCTAAGTAACTATGGAAACATGGTAACTACAGGATTGTTTAAGTAACTATGGAAACATGGTAACTACAGGATTGTTTAAGTAACTATGGAAACATGGTAACTACAGGATTGTTTAAGTATCTATGGAAACATGGTAACTACAGGATTGTTTAAGTAACTATGGAATCATGGTAACTTCGATTAAAAAATAAGAAAATTATTAATGATTAGCATAGTATGTAGTTATGTGAAAGAATTTCAAATTGATCAAATTCCAATCAGACTTTTTTTTGCCTTCAACAATTATTTTATAATAAAATCAAAAAATGTTTAACTCTATACAGCAATTCAGACTAATATTGTGTACTACAGATTAAATTATGTCAACTTCAGAAATGGTTAAACCATTTAGAATAGTACAATTTAAACCTTTGTGTAAGAAAAGATGACGTCTTTTCCCTCCAAGAAATCTGCAAGACATTTATTAGTCTTTTCAAGTTTGATGTTGGAAATAAAACATGAATTCCCATATTTGAAGAATACATTTGCAAATAAATCGAAGAAGTTTCACACACACAATACAGTCCCTTTAAATAAAATAATGTACTAATCATTGAGAAACAAAAATTATAAACTAAAGGTGAAGCATTGACGTCATTAAAAATGCATTTTCTCTTCAGAATTGAGAATGTCAAGTTTAAACTTCATTCTTTTGTGGATATTGGAGAGAATGCGTTTTCAACTTTAAAGGGACTATAGATGTAATTTCAAGTAGCATGTCCGATTCAGAATAGTACTTTTTAAACCACTATCGGAGACCCAATGATCCTTGATTAAATAAGCAAAAAGTTGGAGATATTGATTTTTTCTCTCTAAACTTGACTTATGAATTTATATGCATCAGATATCTTTCTGATATGTAAACGGCGATATCTTGTTCCTTTCTATCATAAAAGAAGCTTTAAAGGGAGTGACCGGCAATGTATGGTAGTTGAACTGAGAATGTAGTATTGTGGAGAATTTTTTAGGAATCATTTGAGAACTTTTAGACGTTTTACGGAGCATATTTGTTAAGCAAGAGCGAAAATTTAATCTTTAAAATCCTCATAAATTGTTCATTTTTGAGGGATAATTTTGAGAATTGGTTTTTGAAAAATCATTCAATAACGACGACGAAAAATGTAGTTCTACAGTAAACTAATTAGTTGTTTAGGAACAGGTTGAGAAAATAAAAATCAACTAATATCACCAAAAATAAGTAATCTTATTCAGTTTTTGGTTTCTGTAATATTTCATTGTTCACACACATTTTCTATAAATTTTCTGGAATTTTTATTGAAAAGACGACATTTGAAGATTTTAAAGAAATCTGCGAACAAATTCGTAAAGTATAAGAAATTCAATATAATGATGAAAAACAAATAAAACATTGATTTCTGGAGAAAATTTCAATCGGGAAATATGTTCCAAAATATATAATTAGTTTACTGTAGAAATTTCTTTACATTTCTAATCTTTAATTATTTAATAACTTTTTTAAATCGATTATCAAAACGTAACAATCCGAATGGATGATTTAGAACGTCGACTTTACACTCAAACTCAGTAATTATACATCATTAAAACGTTTTGAATGTCCTAAATGAAACTTTTAAAAAAAGTCTCCACAATGCTACATTCTCAGTTCAACTACCATTCATTGCCGGTCACTCTCTTTCAGGCTACCGATTAAATATGTTCACTTGAATTGTCCACAGACCCTGTAGACTATAGAAGCGTATAATACTTCATTATTCTATGGAAAGTGTTACTGTCAATAATCTTGAAGGTCTCGGGCTTAAAAGAGTTATAAACTTGTTTGATCCTTGTCACCAAACCCACCACCTTGTACTTCAAATATTCTTTGACCTGAAACATTTAAATGTTATTTATAAAAAATACAATAAATAGGTTTAAAAAAAGCTTAGAAACCCAGCTTTGCCTGGAATAAATTCTCTGTAAAAGTAAACGCTCTCATCCTGGAATTTACTACTGAGTTCGACCAAAATAGAAATAAATTTCATTAAATACATTATGCATGTTCTTCAATTTTCATGTTGCAGTAAGTCAAAGGAATTGAGTTTTTGCACACAAACTCTGATTTTCTAATCCTGATATCTTTACAATCCAATCTCGTAAACCTTAGATACTTTAAACTATGAATTCTGTTAGGTTGAATATTCTAAGCTTGAAATATTAAAGGTTTAAACCATTCTGTTGCACAGATATAAGCATTCGAAAATTTGAGTTTGCGGCAAAAACTAAATTTCTTTGGTTTCTATAGAAAAATCTTGATCTCACAAACATCTTATCCTTCAATTTTTTATGAAATTTAAGTTAATATGAGGAAAGATGTGTTTGAAAGGTTAGTATTATTAGGGTTTACAGCGAAATGAGAACACTTTGCATTTTCTCGCATTTTCGTTTTTTTTTGGGGGGGGGGGGAAGTTGGCATTTTTTTACTCTAAATTTAAAATGTATATTTGAAAATAGGTGAACAACCTCTTTAAATGGTAGAACAAAGAGTAAAAGAAAACTTAGATTTCCAGACTATTTTTAAGTTGAAAGAAATTCATATTTCAATAACTTTTATGCCTGTGCGTTCATAGTATTTCTTTGAAACAATTCGAGGTTAAAAGAACAAAATTTACATTTCCGAGAAATTTAATGAGGATTAAAAATACTTTTAATGATTTTAATAAAGATCTAACTTAATTTTTTATTAAAATATTAATCAATAAATTTGATATAAACATATTTATAATAATTAATACTTTTAGATTTTTTCGATAATCCGAGCGGAACAGGTTAATGTGTAAAAAACTCAACCTTTATTTTGAAGAAATTCTCAATAAGTTGAAATCATTTTTTAGAAACACCGATAGAAATAAAAAAGATACTGATTAATTGAAAACTGTTTTTGGATTCATCCTTAGTTTTGAAAAGCAATAGGAAACGTAACAGGGAATAAAATATGCATTATTGCCCTAAATTGTCTAGGATAATAACTATTTATAACCCTCGTCGAGAACCCTGGAGAAAAAGAAATGTTTTTGGCGAAAATACTTTACAAGCCCCCTTCTACCAGTAGGGTTATAAATAATGTTATGCCCTGGAAAGAAAGAAGTATGAATTTAAATGTTAACACTATCAAAATAAATAAATACACAAAAATGGCACGTTAATTATATAACATGTAATATAAAGTTTAAACTTTTAAAAAGTACATATTTAAGAAAATTCCAATTATTAATTCTGGAAGATGAATGCGGGAACTTCATAGCAAAAAATGCACAAATATTGAAAGGTGTACTCAGCTGGGGTGATATTTTACTTTTAAACACATAAAAAAGTGAAATCAGCTGGGAATATATGGGTTTCAGGATATGTTCACCATAGATTAAAAAGAGGCCACCCAGGGCATAAACAGTATTGATTAAAAGTATATTAAATTAGATTAAATTAAACACACTCTCAGACAAATTAGATGTAATTACAATGTCTATTAGATTGGTGTTCGAGGAAAAATACTTTTTTTTCTTTCTTATTTCTTTTGAAGGCACATTTTTAAAAGTAAAGTATAATTTTTAGTAAAAGATAATTTACGTTCTTAAAGTCACAAATTAAGCTATTTAAATGGGATTATACAATTGTAATTGTAATTATGGAAAAAAGTGGGGTTTTTTGAGGTTTTTACCAAAGAACAAGTGTGTAAACTGTAGATTATCATGTCATAAAGACATTTATATTTGAATAAATAAATTTTCATTCATCAGAAAAATACTTTATTTGCCTCAGGCTTAATTGCTTTATAACATTTATCTTGATTTTATTTTCAGATTGTTCTTTATGGATATATATTGTGTTAAAGAAAATAATTTCCGTTTCAGAAATCAAACAATTCATTGTAATTGTACTCTTGCAGTTTGCACAAAACTTTGAAGAAAAAACTAAAATTCTGCAACTAGAAAATGTTTTCAATTCTTACAACTACCTATGACGTAAATTATGACATATTTTCATAGGGAAGATAAATACCAAACAATAAAGAAACTCCAAAAAACATTATCAGTGTGTTACACTTTGTATATCTTTAGGAAATGATATTCTCGCGGAATTACGCGAATTTTTACGTAAATGCGCGAAATTACGCGGAGTTGCATGATATTTAAAGTGCTTGTAATTGAGCGCAAGTAAAGTACATCACAAATAATCGATGTCAGAGCCCAAAGACAATTAAAGTTGACAAAACGAACAGATTCTGACAAAATTACAAATAACTAACAGATAAAAAATATTCCCAATATTATATACGCTTGGTACATCATGAATAAAATATATGAAATCTTAGTCGGATTATTTGTTTCAAATCAGTTTTTAACGATCAATATTATAAAGCAGATTTTTTTTAAACAATTGTAAATTTTGTTAAACCAAATGTAAATCTGTGAGCATTTCTATAGCAGTAAATTTCTTAAATGAGCTAGTTTTTGAAAGGTGTATGATGATGAAGAAAAATTTCTCAAAACTAAGGAATTTTTAGAAAAGACGACATTTGTGACCAATAAAAAATCTTTTTTGTCAGTGAAAAGCTGAGACTGTTTTTATTTTAAAATATTTTATGAAACATTTTTTTATTCTGCATTTTCAGTTTCTTCAAAAATCTCTAAACTTTCAGGCATTTAATTGCAATTTCTAACAATTCTTATAATTCACTTTAGAAATTACGTGGTATAATAGCTATTGTTACAATCAATAAAGAAATAACTTACCATGAATCAGTATGTGTATCTGGGAGGGCTTCTGTTGAAGGATGAATTCGGTTGAAAAATATTTTTCAATATTTCCAGTTTCCAGTTGATTTTGGCGGATACAGCTTGTACAAGGCTATCCAAGGGATTAAAGGAATCAGGTCTAAACAGTGTATATATTCATACAGAGTTACTTACAAAATACAGGTTCTCCACAAAGTATAAGACTCTAAAGACGACCTAAAACTCTTAAAATATGTCGATTTCGATGTTACATTAAGTCTTCTGTTTTGATTGAAGCCCTTTTATTGCTTATGATTTG